AGTAGTTTGTTTGTTTTGCTCGTCTACAGATTACTGGTGTGTTTTGTTTACAGATTTATCGTGCCAGTGRAGGCGTTTTGTTTGTTTGGGTGGCCAATATGAGAGCATGAAATGGCCTTTAAATTAGGAGTGACTACAATCAAACTGCTAACACAGCTTTAGTGCAGGAAAGCGTTTTGGTTATAGCGTCTTTGTACGCCGTAGTCAAGTCGACGCAATCAGTCCGAATCACCAGTGAGGTCTATAGAGGCGATTTGCGAGAACACTGGAAGCCTATGCGAAAGGTCGCTATCCATAGGCTCATCCTGGACAGGTAAGAGTATGAGATCCGGTACTCCGGGGACATTGTTGTTAGGTGTACTCAGCATGACATGAACGAAGTCGTTATCGTGTATATGATGTTCACGATTCTGAGCTCGATTAAGCGCGTCAGTATTACGCTGATGTTCTAGCCATGAAATAGGACCATAAGTGGGAAGATTTCTGCCAGTAAGAAAGTTGGCTGCGAAATCTCTGTGCGCATTTTGCCTCTGTTGATCACGGGCATCAATTAAATCAGCCAGTTGGCCTTGTATTATGTGCGAGTATCTTTGCCTAGAAAGTCGTTGGGGTACGTAGGGATCGTTAGCGATGTTTCTTGCTTCTGGGTTAGGGTGTGTGCGAAGGTGGGCGTAGTATTTGGAACAGGCTTTGACAAAAATATCCTCGACAGTAGGGACATGTAGATCAGCACGAATAGTTTCATTAGATACATGCCACGGCGCACCTGTGATTAGTCGTAGAATCTTACTCTGCATGACCTTTAGTCTAGCAAACTGGCTGTTAGAAAGTAGAGTACCCCAGACTGGCAGCGTGTATTGCCATATGGGTGCGATTAGTTGTTTGTAGAGTATAACCTTGACTTTCAGGGGCAGTTTGCTGTGACTGTTAATTAGCCAGTTGATCTTGTTCGAACGTATTTTTATTTTGGCCTCCAGAGAGCTTATGTGTTGGTCAAAATGCAGCTTTGAGTCAAGAGTAACGCCAAGATAAACATGCTTAGTGACGTTTTTAATTGGAATGTTATTTAGCTTGACTGGTTCGTATGGAAGGACTCGTCTCAATGTGTGCATGATGTGATTTGACTTAGCCGGATTCACAGTAATACACCTTTTTTTGGCCCAGGCTTCTAGGGTATTTAAATATCTTTGTTGTTCGGTGATAGCAATATTCTGCATCGGATTGGAAATTAATATTATAATATCATCCGCATAGGTGGCAACCATAGTTTTATAGCCACGGGCTGTGTGGAGCGGAGTCTCTGGGATGTCGCTGGTGTAAATGTTGTATAACACTGGGCCTAGAATGCTACCTTGGGGGACACCGGCATTTACTAGCTTGAGATCTGAACGCACACCATTGTGGCATTCAACCTGAAAGGTACGCTCACGCAGATAGCTATCAAGGATACTCATTAAAGGCATGGGAAGAATCTTCTTTAGCTTATAGCGCAGCCCTGTATGCCACACACGGTCAAAGGCCTCTTTTATATCCATATAAACTGCTGAGCAATATGAGCCTGCTTCAAATGCTTGTAGAATTAATTTGGTTACTCGTCCAAGTTGCTGTTCAGCAGAATGAGACTTACGAAATCCGAATTGGTGATTTGGAATTATCTTGACGACGCTATTTAGTTCCATCATACGGCTCAATATGATTTTTTCGAGAATTTTCGAGAGCCCCGATAGTAGGCTTATTGGTCTATAAGATGATACTATATGCGTGGGCTTGCCGGGCTTGTGTATCATTTTTACAAGCGCCTGCTTCCATCGGGAAGGGAAGTGTCCAAGGCGAAGAGAATTATTGTATATAAGAGTGAGATAAAGTAAGCCTTTTAACGGGAGTGACTTAATTGTATGGTTATCTATTTTATCAATTCCAGCCGCTTTCTTGTTTTCAAGTTTTTTGATGATGCTGGCTACTTCCGACACTCTTACTGGACGAAAGCTGACTTCATCAGTTTGCGCTGTTTGTCGTAAACCTGTCTCAATCTCAACAAGATCAGTTTGAGATACTGAGAGTATAGGGCTGAACCTATCTTCAAGGTGTAGTGCAAAGGCTTCGGCCTTTTCAGCAGTGGATTTACACCAGACCCTGTCCGCAGGTCTAGCATCGCTGCTAGACTTTATGAGTGGTAAGTTAGGTGCTGGCTGCCTTTTGAAATTGTTTGTCAATTTCCATAGCTTTTGCATTGCATAGCGGTCCGTTGGGTCAATGGAGCTAAATAACTTTTCTTCAAATTTTGTTTTGCAAGCTTTTAGCTCAGACCTGATCCTATTTGATAGCCAGCAACAAATGCTTTTAGCGTGCAAGTAGCGATTTCGTAATAAGTACTTTTTTATTAATTTCTTCAGCTCAATCATTTGCAAGGTTTTTCTGTCTATGTGGAAAGCTTTCCTGGATGTGCGATGATTGAAGGGCACTGGATTAGGATTCGCTCGGGAAGCCGCCTCACAGATGTTTCTTTCAAGAATATCCACTGCATGGTCAAGATCTGCTGCACTTCTAATTTCAGTGTTGAGTATGACATGATCGTCAAGATACTTTTGAAAAGTTTTAATATTCGCATTTAGTTTTAGAAGATGGCTATTTATTGTGTTGACAGCTGGAGCTTCACGATAATTAATAATTAGTGGAAGATGATCGGAACTAAGGTGATGAGAATCTTCAATCTGAAGTAGTTCGCGACGAATGCCTTTATATATGGCGAAGTCAATGGCGGAAGGCGAATGACGGGGATTGTAAGGGAAGTGAGTAGGAGATCCGGTAGCCAGTATGCTCAGATTTTCCATGTGAACATAGTTTAATAAGCTTCTTCCTCTGATACAGGAGCGTGAGTTTCCCCACCACTGGCTTCGAGCATTCCAGTCGCCTCCTATGATGTAGGCATCCCCCAAGGATAAGAACAGTTCATGGAAATCACTATCAGACCATCTTTGTTGTGGTGGGCAGTAGACGGAGGCAATGTTAATGGTTTTACTGGGAAGGAGATTTAGCGAAACAGCAGCACATTGACATCGCGCTGTAGGTGGAATATGGAGGGCATAGTGCCTTATGCTATTTTTAATGACAACTGCAACACCACCTCTTCGCCTATTAGAAGGATGGTTGGCTGTGTAAGCAGAGTACCCTTGAATTTTAATTGAGTCAGAATCAATAAGGTGAGTCTCAGAGATAAGCATAACATCTATATCTTTGTCAGCAATAAATTGATGGAGCTCTGCAAATTTATTCGATAGCCCTGCAGAGTTCCAGAGTGAGATCTTTAGTTCGCTAGTTGGCATTTGCTCTGTCATTTGCAGCATTATTGGCCAGCATAGCGGCCACCAGAGTGGTCATAAGTTCTATGAGTTTGTTTAACTTATTTTCGTAATTGAGAGTGCATTGGATGTTAGTAGATAGCAGATTAATGAGTTGATCCTGTCTAGGGTCAGTCGATGGCATTTCATTTGAAGGAGGCGAGGGTTGGCTACGTCTTGTACTCAGACTACGACTTCTAATATGAGTAGCAGGCCGATCCAAGGAGTTGTTGCGCAAAAAGCTAGCTTGTGCGCTGTTTAGGGCATTTTGCCTGGATGCTCGCTGTTTGCTAGTGCTTGGATCAGTTGAATTAATTGGGTGAGTAGTACTAAGTCCATGGCGTAGGGCAGCTGAGTAGCTGCGTGCTGAGATTGCTGTTTCATCAACAGGGCGAGGGGTGGGGGGCAGGTTTTGATTTGGATTTGTTTTACTTAAGTCGTGCCTGATTAAGTTAGGGACAGTTTTGCTCAGATTTTTTTTTAATTTATCTACCCTGGATGTGCTTTCGCCTTCCTTTTTTTTGCAGGCCTCTTTGTAGGCTAAGCATCCTTTATAGCTGGCCGCATGCGGCCCAGAGCAATTTGCACACTTTGCCGGGGATTGATCGTCCTTTTTTTTTGCGCATGAGGTTGAGGGGTGGCCGTCGCCGCACTTAACACACATAAAGGGGCGACGGCAATAGTTTTTAGTATGTCCATATTGCTGACACCTGTGGCATTGGGCCACGTCAGTTGACTTATTGGGCTTTTCCACCCTGATTTTTTGGTTACCTAAGAGTGTGAGGTTCATAATCTCAGCATTGTTTTCTTTTTGCTCTAGCTCAACCTCAAATAAGTCTAGTGGCTGATTTGTGAAGCGAGATTTAATAACTCTGAGAAACCTAACTGAGTGGCCCAAATTACTTAGGTGATCGCGGATCCATGTGTCTGGAGTGGAGTGGTGGAGGTACCTTAAAATAACTCTAAGGCCACGCTCACTTCTTAGCTGGTATGTGTGACTCTCGATGTTATTTTCTTTGAGATAATTATTAAGCTTCCTATATGAAGGGATGTCAGCACACTGCACCCTGAATCCATGACCTGCAGCCGGCTTAGTGGTGAAGTTATCTTCACCAATAATCTGTCTGAGGTCATTAATCAGCTTGATAATATCGCTGTAGCCTGAAATATACATAGGGGCAGGCTTAAGAATCATTTGGTCGCGCGTTTTGTCTGTGACATTTGGGGGCGCTATTTGGATGTCACTAATGGCCTTTGAATTCTTGGCTGGATTGAGTTTAACATGAGTGGGCTGGGCCGAGTCTTTTCCATTTGGTTGAATATTATCAGCACCCATTTCCATAAGGCTATCAATGGAATCGCTATCAATGACATCGACGGAGTCTATCGGCACTTGTTTTTTATTTGTTCTTGGGCTATTGCCCTTAGTGGCAACACGCTTGGGTGCTTTTTCATTGCTTTCATAAGACTTAATTGAGTTGTTTTTTGGCTTTGGGACAACATTATGTTTTAATTGCTGGGATGCAGCAGCGGCTGCAGCAACCCGAGAAGTTGAGGGGAGTAGAGATAGGCTTCTTTCATTTTTGATTTTATTGAATACCTTTGACAGTGCAGTTGATGCCACGTGTTTTCGGTCGTCAAGCAGCATTTCGACATCAATGTCTTCAT